ACCGGCCACCGGCCACCGGCCACCGCCACCGGCCACCGGCCACCGGCCACCGGCCACCGGCCACCGGCCACCGGCCACCGGCCACCGGCCACCGGCCACCGGCCACCGGCCACCGGCCACCGGCCACCGGCCACCGGCCACCGGCCACCGGCCACCGGCCACCGGCCACCGCCACCGCCACCGGCCACCGGCCACCGGCCACCGGCCACCGGCCACCGGCCACCGCCCACAGCCCACCGGCCACCGCCCAACGCCCACCGGCCACCGGCCACCGGCCACCGGCCACCGGCCACCGGCCACCGGCCACCGGCCACCGGCCACCGGCCCCCGGCCACCGGCCACCGGCCACCGGCCCCCGGCCACCGGGCGACCGGCCACCGGCCACCGGCCACCGGCCACCGGCCACCGGCCACCGGCCACCGGCCACCGGCCACCGGCCACCGGCCACCGGCCACCGGCCACCGGCCAACGGCCACCGGCCACCGGCCACCGGCCACCGGCCACCGGCCACCGGCCACCGGCCACCGGCCACCGGCCACCGGCCACCGGCGCCCGGCCACCGGCCACCGGCCACCCGCCACCGGCCACCGGCCACCGGCCACCGGCCACCGGCCACCGGCCACCGGCCACCGGCCACCGGCCACCGGCCACCGGCCACCGGCCACCGGCCACCGGCCACCGGCCACCGGCCACCGGCCACCGGCCACCGGCCACCGGCCACCGGCCACCGGCCAACGGCCAACGGCCACCGGCCACCGGCCACCGGCCACCGGCCACCGGCCACCGGCCCCCCGCCACCGGCCACCGGCCACCGGCCACCGGCCACCGGCCACCGGCCACCGGCCACCGGCCACCGGCCACCGGCCACCGGCCACCGGCCACCGGCCACCGGCCACCGGCCACCGGCCACCGGCCACCGGCCACCGGCCACCGGCCACCGGCCACCGGCCACCGGCCACCGGCCACCGGCCACCGGCCACCGGCCACCGGGCCACCGGCCTCCTGCCACCGGCCACCGGCCACCGGCCTCCGGCCACCGGCCACCGGCCACCGGCCACCGGCACCGGGCACCGGCACCGGGCACCGGGCACCGGGCACCGGGCACCGGGCACCGGCACCGGGCACCGGCACCGGGCACCGGGCACCGGGCACCGGGCACCGGCACCGGCACCGGGCACCGGGCACCGGCACCGGACCGGGCACCGGCACCGGGCCACCGGGCACCGGGCACCGGGCACCGGGCACCGGGCACCGGGCACCGGGCACCGGGCACCGGGCACCGGGCACCGGGCACCGGGCACCGGGCACCGGGCACCGGGCACCGGGCACCGGGCACCGGGCACCGGGCACCGGGCACCGGGCACCGGGCACCGGGCACCGGGCACCGGGCACCGGGCACCGGGCACCGGGCACCGGGCACCTGGCACCGGGCACAGGGCACCGGGCACCGGGCACCGGGCACCGGGCACCGGGCACCGGGCACCGGGCACCGGGCACCGGGCACCGGGCACCGGGCACCGGGAACCGGGCACCGGGCACCGGGCACCGGGCACCGGGCACCGGGCACCGGGCACCGGGCACCGGGCACCGGGCACCGGGCACCGGGCACCGGGCACCGGGCACCGGGCACCGGGCACCGGGCACCGGGCACCGGGCACCGGGCACCGGGCACCGGGCACCGGGCACGGGGCACCGGGCACCGGGCACCGGGCACCGGGCACCGGGCACCGGGCACCGGGCACCGGGCACCGGGCACCGGGCACCGGGCACCGGGCACCGGGCACCGGGCACCGGGCACCGGGCACCGGGCACCGGGCACCGGGCACCGGGCACCGGCACCGGGCACCGGGCACCGGGCACCGGGCACCGGGCACCGGGCACCGGGCACCGGGCACCGGGCACCGGGCACCGGGCACCGGGCACCGGGCACCGGGCACCGGGCACCGGGCACCGGGCACCGGGCACCGGGCACCGGGCACCGGGCACCGGGCACCGGGCACCGGGCACCGGGCACCGGGCACCGGGCACCGGGCACCGGGCACCGGGCACCGGGCACCGGGCACCGGGCACCGGGCACCGGGCACCGGGCACCGGGCACCGGGCACCGGGCACCGGGCACCGGCACCGGGCACCGGGCACCGGGCACCGGGCACCGGGCACCGGGCACCGGGCACCGGGCACCGGGCCACCGGGCACCGGGCACCGGGCACCGGGCACCGGGCACCGGGCACCGGGCACCGGGCACCGGGCACCGGGCACCGGGCACCGGGCACCGGGCACCGGGCACCGGGCACCGGGCACCGGGCACCGGGCACCGGGCACCGGGCACCGGGCACCGGGCACCGGGCACCGGGCACCGGGCACCGGGCACCGGGCACCGGGCACCGGGCACCGGGCACCGGGCACCGGGCACCGGGCACCGGGCACCGGGCACCGGGCACCGGGCACCGGGCACCGGGCACCGGCACCGGGCACCGGGCACCGGGCACCGGGCACCGGGCACCGGGCACCGGGCACCGGGCACCGGGCACCGGGCACCGGGCACCGGGCACCGGGCACCGGGCACCGGGCACCGGGCACCGGGCACCGGGCACCGGGCACCGGGCACCGGGCACCGGGCACCGGGCACCGGGCACCGGGCACCGGGCACCGGGCACCGGGCACCGGGCACCGGGCACCGGGCACCGGGCACCGGGCACCGGGCACCGGGCACCGGGCACCGGGCACCGGGCACCGGGCACCGGGCACCGGGCACCGGGCACCGGGCACCGGGCACCGGGCACCGGGCACCGGGCACCGGGCACCGGGCACCGGGCACCGGGCACCGGGCACCGGGCACCGGGCACCGGGCACCGGGCACCGGGCACCGGGCACCGGGCACCGGGCACCGGGCACCGGGCACCGGCACCGGGCACCGGGCACCGGGCACCGGGCACCGGGCACCGGGCACCGGGCACCGGGCACCGGGCACCGGGCACCGGGCACCGGGCACCGGGCACCGGGCACCGGGCACCGGGCACCGGGCACCGGGCACCGGGCACCGGGCACCGGGCACCGGGCACCGGGCACCGGGCACCGGGCACCGGGCACCGGGCACCGGGCACCGGGCACCGGGCACCGGGCACCGGGCACCGGGCACCGGGCACCGGGCACCGGGCACCGGGCACCGGGCACCGGGCACCGGGCGCACCGGGCACCGGGCACCGGGCACCGGGCACCGGGCACCGGGCACCGGGCACCGGGCACCGGGCACCGGGCACCGGGCACCGGGCACCGGGCACCGGGCACCGGGCACCGGGCACCGGGCACCGGGCACCGGGCACCGGGCACCGGGCACCGGGCACCGGGCACCGGGCACCGGGCACCGGGCACCGGGCACCGGGCACCGGGCACCGGGCACCGGGCACCGGGCACCGGGCACCGGGCACCGGGCACCGGGCACCGGGCACCGGGCACCGGGCACCGGGCACCGGGCACCGGGCACCGGGCACCGGGCACCGGGCACCGGGCACCGGGCACCGGGCACCGGGCACCGGGCACCGGGCACCGGGCACCGGGCACCGGCACCGGGCACCGGGCACCGGGCACCGGCGATCGGGCACCGGGCACCGGGCACCGGGCACCGGGCACCGGGCACCGGGCACCGGGCACCGGGCACCGGGCACCGGGCACCGGGCACCGGGCACCGGCACCGGGCACCGGGCACCGGGCACCGGGCACCGGGCACCGGGCACCGGGCACCGGGCACCGGGCACCGGGCACCGGGCACCGGGCACCGGGCACCGGGCACCGGGCACCGGGCACCGGGCACCGGGCACCGGGCACCGGGCACCGGGCACCGGGCACCGGGCACCGGGCACCGGGCACCGGGCACCGGGCACCGGGCACCGGGCACCGGGCACCGGGCACCGGGCACCGGGCACCGGGCACCGGGCACCGGGCACCGGGCACCGGGCACCGGGCACCGGGCACCGGGCACCGGGCACCGGGCACCGGGCACCGGGCACCGGGCACCGGGCACCGGGCACCGGGCACCGGGCACCGGGCACCGGGCACCGGGCACCGGGCACCGGGCACCGGGCACCGGGCACCGGGCACCGGGCACCGGGCACCGGGCACCGGGCACCGGGCACCGGGCACCGGGCACCGGGCACCGGGCACCGGGCACCGGGCACCGCACCGGGCACCGGGCACCGGGCACCGGGCACCGGGCACCGGGCACCGGGCACCGGGCACCGGGCACCGGGCACCGGGCACCGGGCACCGGGCACCGGGCACCGGGCACCGGGCACCGGGCACCGGGCACCGGGCACCGGGCACCGGGCACCGGGCACCGGGCACCGGGCACCGGGCACCGGGCACCGGGCACCGGGCACCGGGCACCGGGCACCGGGCACCGGGCACCGGGCACCGGGCACCGGGCACCGGGCACCGGGCACCGGGCACCGGGCACCGGGCACCGGGCACCGGGCACCGGGCACCGGGCACCGGGCACCGGGCACCGGGCACCGGGCACCGGGACCCGGGCACCGGGCACCGGGCACCGGGCACCGGGCACCGGGCACCGGGCACCGGGCACCGGGCACCGGGCACCGGGCACCGGGCACCGGGCACCGGGCACCGGGCACCGGGCACCGGGCACCGGGACCCGGGCACCGGGCACCGGGACCCGGGCACCGGGCACCGGGACCCGGGCACCGGGCACCGGGCACCTGGCACCGGGCACCGGGCACCGGGCACCGGGCACCGGGCACCGGCCACCGGGCACCGGGCACCGGCCACCGGGCACCGGGCACCGGGCACCGGGCACCGGGCACCGGCCACCGGGCACCGGGCACCGGCCACCGGGCACCGGGCACCGGGCACCGGGCACCGGGCACCGGCCACCGGGCACCGGGCACCGGGCACCGGGCACCGGCCACCGGGCACCGGGCACCGGCCACCGGGCACCGGGCACCGGGCACCGGGCACCGGGCACCGGGCACCGGGCACCGGGCACCGCCAGCGTAGCTCAATTGGTAGAGCACTCGCTTGACAATTCGGTGGTCATGGGTTCGATCCCATGCGGTCGAATTGGTAATGGGTAGATGTGGGTTCGAATCCCACTGCTGGCCCCTGGCAATAGCCAGGGTGAATAACGGTGAGTCCGGCCCGCTAAACTCCGGATCGGGCAAAGCGACTTCGAGAAAATGTCCCAGAACATTCAGTCCGCCCTTCAGGTCTGAATTCACCCTGGTGATCGCGCCGAACGGAGAAGAAAATACTCCTTAGGCCCGTCCCCCTTAACACACGCGAGAGTCTGTCTCCGCGTAAAATTAATTATTTACTTAATTATTTAATTTAATGAATTAATTAATTAATAAATTAATGTAGAAACTCCTGCACCGGGCTCCAGGCACAGCAACCGGGCACCGGGCACCGGGCACCCCCGGCACCGGGCACCGGGCACCGGCAACCGGGCACCGGGCACCGGGCAACGGGCACCGGGCAACCGGCAACCGGCACCGGGCAAACCGCAACGCACCGGGCACCGCACGCAACCGGCACCGGGCACCGGGCACCAGGCACCGGGCAACGGGCACCGGGCTCCGGGCACCGGGCACCGGGCACCGGGCACCGCCTCCCTCCCAACGGCACCGGGCTACCGGGCTCCGGCCACCCGCACAGCACGGGCACCGGCACCGGGCACCGGGCACCGGGCACCGGGCACCGGGCACCGGGCACCGGGCACCGGCACCGGGCACCGGGCACCGGGCACCGGGCACCGGGCACCGGGCACCGGGCACCGGCACCGGGCACCGGCACCGGCACCGGGCACCGGGCACCGGGCACCGGGCACCGGGCACCGGCACCGGGCACCGGCCACTCGGCACCGGGCACCGGGCACCGGGCACCGGGCACCGGGCACCGGGCACCGGGCACCGGGCACCGGGCACCGGGCACCGGGCACCGGGCACCGGGCACCGGGCACCGGGCACCGGGCACCGGGCACCGGGCACCGGGCACCGGGCACCGGGCACCGGGCACCGGGCACCGGGCACCGGGCACCGGGCACCGGGCACCGGGCACCGGGCACCGGGCACCGGGCACCGGGCACCGGGCACCGGGCACCCGGGCACCGGGCACCGGGCACCGGGCACCGGGCACCGGGCACCGGGCACCGGCACCGGGCACCGGGCACCGGGCACCGGGCACCGGGCACCGGCACCGGCACCGGGCACCGGGCACCGGGCACCGGGCACCGGGCACCGGGCACCGGGCACCGGGCACCGGGCACCGGGAACCCGGCACCGCGCACCGGGCACCGGGCACCGGGCACCGGGCACCGGGCACCGGGCACCGGGCACCGGGCACCGGGCACCGGGCACCGGGCACCGGGCACCGGGCAGGCACCGGGCACCGGGCACCGGGCACCGGGCACCGGGCACCGGGCACCGGGCACCGGGCACCGGCACCGGGCACCGGGCCACCGGGCACCGGGCACCGGGCACCGGGCACCGGGCACCGGGCACCGGGCACCGGGCACCGGCACCGGGCACCGGGCACCGGGCACCGGGCACCGGGCACCGGGCACCGGCACCGGGCACCGGGCACCGGGCACGGGCACCGGGCACCGGGCACCGGGCACCGGGCACCGGGCACCGGGCACCGGGCACCGGGCACCCGGCACCGCACACGCACCGGGCACCGGGCTCCCGTTCCGCCCCTACCGGCACCGGGCACCGGCACCCTCCGCACCGGCACCCCCGCACCGGGCACCGACACCGGCACCGGGCACCGGGCTCCGGGCACCGGGCACCGGCACCGGCACCCAAAGCACCAGCACCGGCACTCGGCACCGGCCACCGGCACCGGGCACACCGGGCACCGGGAACCGGGCACCGGCACCGGCACCGGGCACCGGCAGCCCGGCACCGGGCACCGCAACGCAACCGGGCACCCGGCACCGGCACCGCACCGGGCACCGGGCACCCTCCGACCCCCACCGGGCAACACGGACCCGCAACCGGCACCGACCCGCACCGCTCCACCCACCAACCCACCGGGCACCGGGCACCCGGGGCACCGGGCACCGGGCACCCGGCACCGCCACCGGCACCGGCACCGGGCACCGGGCATCCGGGCACCGGGCACCGGCACCGGGCACCGGGCACCGGGCACGGCACCGGGCACCGGGCACCGGGCACCGGGCACCGGGACCCGGGCACCGGGCACCGGGCACCGGGCACCGGGCACCGGGCACCGGGCACCGGGCACCGGGCACCGGGCACCGGGCACCGGGCACCGGGACCAGGGCACCGGGCACCGGGCACCGGGGCACCGGCACCGGGCACCGGCACCGGGCACCGGGCACCGGGCACCGGGCACCGGGCACCGGGCACCGGGCACCGGGCACCGGGGCACCGGGCACCGGGCACCGGGCACCGGGCACCGGGCACCGGGCACCGGGCACCGGGCACCGGGCACCGGGCACCGGGCACCGGCACCGGGCACCGGGCACCGGGCACCGGGCACCGGCCCCCGGGCACCGGGCCCCCGGCACCCGGCACCCGGCACCGGGCACCGGGGAACGGGCACCGGGGCACCGGGCACCGGGCACCGGGCACCGGGCACCGGGCACCGGGCACCGGGCACCGGGCACCGGGCACCGGGCACCGGGCACCGCAACCGGGCACCGCAACCGGCAACCGGCACCGGCACCGGGCACCGGGCACCGCAACCGGGCAACCGGGCACCGGCACCGGGCCACAGGCATCCGCACCGACACCGCACCGGGCACCGGCACGGCACCGGCCCGCACCGGCACCGGCACCGGCACCGCACCGGGCACCGGCCCGAACCGCACCGGGCACCGCACCGGGCACCGGCACCGCACCCACCCACCGGGCATCAGCACCGGCCACCGCACCGGCACCGCTACGGCTCCGCACCGCACCGCACCGCACCGCCACCGAGCACCGCTCCGGCACCGTCACCGGGCTCGGCACCGCACCGCACCGGCAAACCGGCACCGGGCACCGCACCGGCACCGGCCCCCCCCGGCCCCAACCGGCACCGGCAAACGCACCGGGCCACCCGGCACCGGCACCGGGGCACCGCACCGGCACCGGGCACCGGGCAACCGCACCGGCACCGGCTCACGCAACCGGGCCCGTGCACCGGCCCGGCACAGCACCGGCACCGGCACCGCCCCGCACCGCACGGCACCGGCACACGCACCGGCAACCCACCGCACCGCACCGCACCGCTTCCGGCACCGCACCGGCAACCGGGCACCGGACCCGCCACCGGCACCGGCACCGGGCTCCGGACCCGACCCGCACCGCACCGGCACCGGCACCGCACCGCACCGCCAGGGGCACCGGTGCCCGGTGCCCGGTGCCCGGTGCCCGGTGCCCGGTGCCCGGTGCCCGGTGCCCGGTGCCCGTGCCCGGTGCCCGGTGCCCGGTGCCCGGTGCCCGGTGCCCGTGCCCGGTGCCCGGTGCCCGGTGCCCGGTGCCCGGTGCCCGGTGCCCGGTGCCCGGTGCCCGGTGCCCGGTGCCCGGTGCCCGGTGCCCGGTGCCCGGTGCCCGGTGCCCGGTGCCCGGTGCCCGGTGCCCGGTGCCCGGTGCCCGGTGCCCGGTGCCCGGTGCCCGGTGCCCGGTGCCCGGTGCCCGGTGCCCGGTGCCCGGTGCCCGGTGCCCGGTGCCCGGTGCCCGGTGCCCGGTGCCCGGTGCCCGGTGCCCGGTGCCCGGTGCCCGGTGCCCGGTGCCCGGTGCCCGGTGCCCGGTGCCCGGTGCCCGGTGCCCGGTGCCCGGTGCCCGGTGCCCGGTGCCCGGTGCCCGGTGCCCGGTGCCCGGTGCCCGGTGCCCGGTGCCCGGTGCCCGGTGCCCGGTGCCCGGTGCCCGGTGCCCGGTGCCCGGTGCCCGGTGCCCGGTGCCCGGTGCCCGGTGCCCGGTGCCCGGTGCCCGGTGCCCGGTGCCCGGTGCCCGGTGCCCGGTGCCCGGTGCCCGGTGCCCGGTGCCCGGTGCCCGGTGCCCGGTGCCCGGTGCCGGTGCCCGGTGCCCGGTGCCCGGTGCCCGGTGCCCGGTGCCCGGTGCCCGGTGCCCGGTGCCCGGTGCCCGGTGCCCGGTGCCCGGTGCCCGGTGCCCGGTGCCCGGTGCCCGGTGCCCGGTGCCCGGTGCCCGGTGCCCGGTGCCCGGTGCCCGGTGCCCGGTGCCCGGTGCCCGGTGCCCGGTGCCCGGTGCCCGGTGCCCGGTGCCCGGTGCCCGGTGCCCGGTGCCCGGTGCCCGGTGCCCGGTGCCCGGTGCCCGGTGCCCGGTGCCCGGTGCCCGGTGCCCGGTGCCCGGTGCCCGGTGCCCGGTGCCCGGTGCCCGGTGCCCGGTGCCCGGTGCCCGGTGCCCGGTGCCCGGTGCCCGGTGCCCGGTGCCCGGTGCCCGGTGCCCGGTGCCCGGTGCCCGGTGCCCGGTGCCCGGTGCCCGGTGCCCGGTGCCCGGTGCCCGGTGCCCGGTGCCCGGTGCCCGGTGCCCGGTGCCCGGTGCCCGGTGCCCGGTGCCCGGTGCCCGGTGCCCGGTGCCCGGTGCCCGGTGCGCGGTGCCCGGTGCCCGGTGCCCCGTGCCCGGTGCCCGGTGCCCGGTGCCCGGTGCCCGGTGCCCGGTGCCCGGTGCCCGGTGCCCGGTGCCCGGTGCCCGGTGCCCGGTGCCCGGTGCCCGGTGCCCGGTGCCCGGTGCCCGGTGCCCGTCGCCCGGTGCCCGGTGCCCGGTGCCCGGTGCCCGGTGCCCGGTGCCCGGTGCCCGGTGCCCGGTGCCCGGTGCCCGGTGCCCGGTGCCCGGTGCCCGGTGCCCGGTGCCCGGTGCCCGGTGCCCGGTGCCCGGTGCCCGGTGCCCGGTGCCCGGTGCCCGGTGCCCGGTGCCCGGTGCCCGGTGCCCGGTGCCCGGTGCCCGGTGCCCGGTGCCCGGTGCCCGGTGCCCGGTGCCCGGTGCCCGGTGCCCGGTGCCCGGTGCCCGGTGCCCGGTGCCCGGTGCCCGGTGCCCGGTGCCCGGTGCCCGTGCCCGGTGCCCGGTGCCCGGTGCCCGGTGCCCGGTGCCCGGTGCCCGGTG